GGGACGGCAAAGGATGAGATGGTTAGACAGTGTCATAGATGCAACGAACATGAAATTGAGCAAACTTCAGAGGACGGCGGAAGACAGGAGGGCCTGGCGGGAGTTGGTCCATGGGGTTGCGAAGAGTCGGACGCGACTGTGTGACTGAACAACAACAACAACAAAAGGGAATGTTTACATGGATAAGAAATAGAACAGTGATCTTCATCATATCTATTTTCATCTTAAATTTAATCTACCTTGAAGTGTGTTGTTGGGATAAAAGGGGATAACTCTTGTGGGGAACATCAGAGAGGTAGGCTGGGACACAGATGAATAATGGAAATGTAAAGCACTACAAAGCTGGAAAATGGTATTATCTCACCAGTGCAGATGGATAATCAGTGGCTTACCTAAGACAATTTGTTGCATTTATTACTGATGAATGATGTAGACTGGGGAATGCCTATCTCATAACCAGTGTTCCCTCTAAACCAAGTTAGTGTGAGCTGTCTCACAGTTTTCTACTCTCCAGCTCACAGATTTTTGTCTTAGCTCAGGAACGATGGCTCCAGAGCAAACTAATTTATCTAGCAGCCAAACCTCTTGCTCACAATTTTAATGTCAGTAGCTCACAAAGCAGAATTTTTGCTCACATGACTCCACAGCATAGAGGGAGCATTGCTCATAACTACATCCTTTCATACCTGGAGCTTCTGGGCATAAGGCTTCAAGGATTTCCCGGAGCAATTGATACTGTGTTCTTATACAAAACCCAGCTTGACCCGAATCCTTGTCCATACATTACAAATGCAATGATCGGTACAATTGAAGCATGACATGAGAAAACACTGTGAGTTTTTTGTCTGAAGTTCTGAGTGGAAACTGTAGCATGTGGAAGTACCTTTTGCCAGGCAAAAGTATGGAAGTACATTTGGTTTAGGGTTGCCAAGCCCCCAGTGGGAGTGGACAATCCCCCCTCCTCCAAGTCCTGCTAAGCACTGCCACTGCAAGCGGTGGCACAGGACTGGGACCCCTTATTGATCTACCCAGAAGTGCAATGTAGAAGAAGAAGAAGAAGAAGACGAAGAAGAAGAAGAAGAAGAAGAAGAAGAGTTTGGATTTATACCCCGCCCTTCACTACCCAAAGGTGTCTCAGAGCAGCTTACACATTCCTTTCCCTTTCCCTCCCCACAACAGACACCCTGTGAGGGAGGTGGGGCTGAGAGAGCTCTTGACAGAAACTGCTCTTTTTTCAAGGACAGCTCTTATCAGAACTAGGGCTTGGCCAAGGTCATCCAGCCAGGTGCAAGTGGAGGAGTGGGGAATCAAACCCGGTTCTCCCCGATTAGAGTCTGCGCACTTAACCACTACACCAAACTGGCTCTCATATCTGGAATAAAGATATCAGCCTAGAAGATGAATGTGCTTGCGTCTCAGCATTAAAACGTCAGCAGAACCTGTGCTGTGTTTATGCAAAGCAAAAATTAATTAACGGAGGCAGTGTTATTGCTTTGGAAGGTCGGGGGGGAGTAGATGTGATTCAATGTGCCCTCTCCCAAGCAACTTGTCAATCTCTGCTCTCCCTTTGCCTTGAAATGGAAGAAGCACAGTGCACTGAGTTCCCCTTTGCCTCCCAGATTAGATGGCCACAGCTAAAGGGAAGAGAAATTAAGAAATATATTTTAAAAAGCAATCCATATTTTACCCATAGAAGTGCCACGCAGCCCCTTGTCCTTGCAGGGTTAGATCATGTCTTTTAAGCCAGTTTGGTGTTGTGGTTAAGTGTGCGGACTCTAATCTGGGAGAACCGGGTTTGATTCCCCACTCCTCCACATGCAGCTGCTGGCGTGACCTTGGGTGAGTCACAAGCTCTGTCAGAGCTGTCCTTGAAAAAGAGCAGTCTGTGTCAGAGCTCTCTTGGCCCCACCCGCCTCACAGGGTGTCTGTTGTGGGGAGGGGGAGGGAAAGGAGTTTGTAAGCCGCTCTGAGACTCCAAGTGAAGGGCGGGATATAAATCCAATCTCTTCTCCTCCTCCTCCTCCTTCTTCTTCTCCTCCTCCTCCTCCTCCTCCTCCTCCTCCTCTCTTCCTTTTACTGTGTTTATCTCCAGAATTTGATTCCAAGAAATGGTAAAAATGCAGCTCTGTGGGTTATTCTGTTTGCCTGGAGGCTGGCAAGCCTATTGTGAACTTCTACAGTAAAGTACTTCCCCCCCACCCCCAGTGAAAGGATCTGGAGTTTACAGCTGGCTGGAATAAAGAAGTTTGCTCTGGATCGGTAGGTCTGACTTGTTTCTTCTTACCCCATAGCCAGCAGAAGCTATAAGCACAATGCAGACTTGACCAGGACTCACCATCATAGCCTGGAGGATGTTCCTTTCTCTCTCTCTCTCTCTTTAATTACATTAATAATATAAATAGGTATTCCTAATCTGGACATTTTGCCTGGCTCCAGCTTGGTGGAACTCTCTGCCAAGAAACATCCATGTCCTGCAGGACCTAATGCATTTCTGCAGGGCCTGTAAAGCAGAGATGTTCTGCCAGGGTTTTGGTGGAGGACAGCGACGGGTTCCACACTGCCTGGCACTCCCTGTCCCCTGCTTCTCTTCGGCCTCCCCCATGAGGCAGTTGCACAATTTCAATTTTTAGTGCCACCTGATAAAGTTTTAACTATGTATTAGCTTACTGTTCTGAACTGGTTTCATTAATGTATGGGTGTCTTTTATTGTTGTTCACTGCCCTGGGCCTTGTGTACACAGGGGAGGATAGTCTAAAAGTTTGATTTATAAATAAAATGAAATAAATTTCATTGGCCATCGGGAATCTGAACCCAGTGCTCTCTAGTTCTATTCCAACTATCAGACCTTTATGCAATACTATATATAAAGGTAAAAGTAAAGGTTCCCTTGCTCGAAAGCCAGTTGAATCCGAATCTAGGGTTGCGGTGCTCATCTCAGAGCCGAAGAGCCAGCGCTGTCCGAAGACGTTTCCGTCGTCATGTGGCCAGCATGACTAAACACCAAGGCGCACGGAACGCTGTTACCTTCCCACCGAAGTGGTACCTATTTATCTACTTGCAATTTCTTGCTTTCGAACTGCTAGGTTGGCAGGAGCTGGAACTAGAGAGGGGAGATCACTCCGTCATGCGGCACACTCGGGTCTCGAACTGCTGAACTACCGACCTTCCACAGCCTGCAGTTCAGCGTCTTAACCACTTGAGCCACCGCAGCTCCTATAAAGAGAGACTATAGATATAGTAAGAATACTATTTATTTTATTTATTTATTTTTAATTTATTCATTACATTTCTACCCCGCCCTCCCGCCGAAGCGGCAGTGCGATTTTTGTCAGATCCCCACCCACCCCCCGGTGTTTAAAAGGTTTTCTAAGTTCTTTCCAGTCACAGCTGGCATTTTTGTGCATCTAGGGTGGATCCTTTTCGGGGAGACGGGCCTGCGTGTCCACCTCCCCCTTTTTGGGGATCCCCAGAAGGGGTCAGGGGGGTTGAGCCAACACACAGTAGGCCCATCTCGGGGGCTGTGCCCAGGATCACCCCAGGTGTCAAATTCGTACCACGCAGAGGCAGCCGCCCTTGTGATACCAGCAGTATTTGTCACTCCTGGGTTTTGCCCTCAGCAGGCAGGCTGAGGGACGTGGTTATCGGGTGGCAGGCGGGTCACTCGATTTTACAGGATCCACCCCCATGCTTTGCCAATGCTCCTTGGTCTGTAATCAATAAAAGCTGTGGCCTGTTTTTTATCCCAAGATTGTTGTGTGGTGTGTTTGTTGTGGACCTCTACAGGACCCCTTCCTACTAAGCCCTGCGCCAGCAATTACAATGCCAACAGGCTATGCTTACACTGGCTATGGATGGGGACAATCCTGATGTAAAGGTCCATTTGCCACCTGCTCCTTCACATTGTGCAAAAGGTCAAATTGTCTTCTTGATGACCGCTCAGGAGAATAGCCAGGGGGAGTCCTTTTAAGAGGTACTTTCTGCCTATAGTACCACAGCCGTTGCTGGACTTGGAGGAGGTACTTTCCTCTCTTGCAATAACCAATGCTTTTCTGACCTTCTCGCCAAGAGCCATCAGATGTGCAGAGACCAAAGGAAAATAAACAACACATGAAGCCCTGAACGATTGCTTAATAATAATAGATTAGCTTGATCAAACAGCAAAGGTAGGCTTTGCCACTTGAAGCTCTTTCAAGTTCACACTTGGGATAGTGCAATTCTATGCACAGTTAGACCAAAGTAAGTACAGAGATTTGCCCTGGGGGTATACCATCCCTAATTGGTGGTTCTGTGACTTATACCAGATGCAACATACTATAAATAATTTGGTCAGACCTCACCTGGTCCTAGTTGTTTCCTTCAGAGTGACCTCCTTTTAGCTTTTTGTTTAAAAGTCACTATCAGACCTTAGTGCACAGAGAGCTTTAATAGTACACTGTGGTGCATGAACCTACAAAACAGTTGGATAAATGGTTTACTGCCCCTTCTACCATGTGCTACGACTGAAATTTCTAAAATTTATTTTGGCTCAATTAGAAGAATATCCTGATTGTCTAAAGATCCTTATTCTTCTTATAATCCAAACCTTGAGATAATGGAAACTGTTGCTAAATTTCTTTTTGGTGCCATTTCTATTCGCCCTTTATTTAATTGATGGGTATGCTTACTTGGTAATTCCTTGTTTCTGTATTTTGCAAGTATTATTCTATGCTGTGGTTGTTTTTTTGTTTTTGTTGCATATGGGTTTGCAAGGGTTACATGCCAATAAAGGTAACTGGATTGATTGAGAAAGTGATACCAGGGATGCAGGAATAGGTTTCAAAGCAGGGAATCGACAAAGCCAATTCAAAGCTGGTTGTAGCCAGAATGATGACAACAGGAAAGTATTCTGCTCTCCAAATTTAGCTCCTGTCTTTTTTTATTTATTTACTGACTTTATTCACCATCCACCTTTTTTGTTGAGACTCAAGACACTGATGTCATTGCTTGTACTGCTGCTCGTCATGTGGCGGACACATCCCATTCATCCCAACCTGAAGACTCATTCAATTCAGTGCAACAGAAACGCTTCTGTCCCTATTCCACAGGAATTGTATGAGCCAGGAGATCTTATCATTGGAGGGATTGCCTCTCAGGTCTTCTTCCATCACAACCCTATGCATTTTAGGGATCAGCCCTCTCAGATGTTAATCGAGGAGGCAATGTAAGGGTCCATTCCTTCTTTTTCAGCAGTTTTAATATTTTCTGCTAGATCACAATAACTGAACTATTGATTACAGCAAAAGAAAGGAAGAGTTACTTCGTCTGGAAGAACCTCTTGTAAGTGGAAGGCTAATAGTAGCGGGGGGGGGACTGAATCCCACCCAATATGCAAACCATATTTCAGTGTACAGGTAGATGGTTCTTTGCTTTGCCTTCAGAATACCTTGTTTAATTAAGCAAAAATTGCTCTCCTCCCATACTTCCTTCTTTCTCATTTTTCCCTTCCTCTGATATATATCTCCTCTGATACCAGTGTGCTTTCCTTCGTATATATATATGTATTTGTATGTATATTACCATTTTCATAATGGAAATGTTTTACTGCATCTATGGCTCTCATGCCCTGACCTGGATGGCAGAGTCTAGCCTGATCTTGTCAGATTGTGGAAGCTAAGCAGCGTCAGCCCTGGTTAGTACTTGGATGGGAGACCACAAGGAACAAGGTTGCTATGCAGAGGCAGGCAATGGCAAAACACCTCTGAATGTCTCTTGCTTTGAAAACCCTACAGGGTGGCCATAAAGTGGCTGGGGCGGGACACTCCATCACTACCATGGTTTCAAACCCAGTAGCTTCTTCGGTTTCATTACAGTACCATGGCATTAGACACTTTTCATTTTGTGTTATAAATACATTCACATAGTTAAGATATTTAGCATTTCAGTACAAAACACAATTGGACATTCTGGTTTTATCGATATATAGATACTTGGGATGTTGTCTACTTAAGATCTGCATTCAGAACTTAATTAATCATTTCTACCTATCGACACCATATCATTTATATCAGAAAATAAACTACTGCAAACTAAATTGGTGGAAATGATCAGGCTTCCTTGCTTTCATTATATTAGTGAAAGTCTTGTTTAATCAGCAATCCTATGCATTTAATTAGAAAGAAGTTCCATTGAACTTGGTGGCCCTGCGCCTGAGTGGCTGAGTGGAATTTGCCCCAGTGACTTCTTGTTTCAGCCATGCACTGCTTTCCTAGCCTCAGCTCCACTATGGCCCCTGTCACACGGGCAGGAAACTGCAGAGGAGAAGTGTGGCTGTTTGCCCCGGGGCAAACTAACATGCAGTAAAGCGATCAGACCTACTGTGGAGGTTCTGTGGAGGTACTGTGGAGGTTCCATGGCAAGGGAGAGGTGCCGATCACAACACACGCCTGCGCGCAATGAAGAAGCGCGCGGCGCGGCGAACTGGTTTTCTTTTTTTGTGTACACTACGAATGCGCATGCTCCGTTGGGTGCGTGTGCGCATCCACGGAGACGTGGGGGGAAAAAAACCCTTTTCCGCAAGGGGACATGGGCGGGCGCCGGATACCACCGGAAACGCGATCAGACGCCCGCCCTTGCCCCGCAGTTTCTGGAAACTAGTACCTCCAAGGTACTAGTTTTTTGCTGCGCTTTTTCGGCAGGAAGCCTCAGTTGTGCCACGGAAGCACTACGCTTCCCAGATGTGCTGGTGAGATCGCGACGTGGAATTAGCCCCAGTAACTTCTTGTTTCAGCCATGCACTGCTTTCCTAGCCTCAGCTCCACTATCTTCAGTATGGAGAGAATAATCCTCTACTTCACAGGGTTGATTCAAAGATAAATGTTAGTCTATCATAACATTGTACCACATGTAAAAACAGGATTCCGAAGTGCTATGTAAATGCTAAGCTTTTCAGAAAGGTTCCGATTACTGTTCATCCATAGTTCCAGAAATGGCAACAGTAGACTTTGCAAAAACTATATCGTTCTGGTTTGGGAACTAAATATATAATGACCTGAAACAGTAACACACATTGCAGGTAGCATTGCCAGAAGAGCAGAGAGTTGCAGAATGCTAATGTTACATACATTTCAGAGGAGTGGTCACTGTTTTTTTTTTTTTTTTAAATGTCTTGGAGACATCTCTTTGCAAGTAAAAATTTAGGGTATAGGAAACGTCCTCTATGGTGCTACAGACATTTTTGATATGTTGTTATGACTCATGTACCTCTGCCCCCCCCAATCTTCCTATATCTGGGGCTTGAGAAAATTCTGTTTTAGTCTGTATATGGGGAAATATGCTTGTACACAAAAAATCATATTGAATAAAACTTTGTTGGTCTTAAAGCTACCAGTGTACTCAAACTTTGTTCATGTATCTCTCGTTACAGTGTGGACACGAAGCACTATCAGCACATCCTTGCTTTGGTATTTGCTGTGAAGGAAATCAATCACAATCCCAGGATCTTACCTAACATCACTTTGGGGTTCCACCTCTATGACAGCTACTACAGTGCACATATGACTTTTAAGGCTACACTAGCTCTGCTTTCCTCACAGCATGAACACATCCCCAACTACAAGTGTGATGTTCAGAATAATTTGGCAGCTGTCATTGGTGGACTTGGTTCTCAGACCTCCATCCACATGGCCACCATCTTAAAGATCTACAAGACTCCACAGGTAGATTTTGTAGAGGGAAGGGCAGAATATCACATTCCATTCTCATCTAATGATCAGTGATAGGTAAACTTCTCTGAGCTCAACTTGAAACCATTTGCATTCTTGTAAACATCTTTGCCACTCTGTAGACATGCTCAACAGGAATGTTTATAAATGCCAATCCCTCTCATCCTGCTAAAAACAGAAACCATAGCTTTTGAAGTCTCTGTAATTGAATTATAGCTTGGAAAAACCTGGGTATAAGCCACAGGCATCTTGTACATTATCTCGGGTATTGAGACCAGGTCTGATCTGTAATTGACTCATTGTCCTGAAATTAGTATTCTATTTCCAATTAAAAACAATGTGTGATTTTAATTTATGCACTGTATTCAAGTCTTCATGGCTACATTCAGCAGGCAGAAGGAACGGAATGGGTGGGGGAATGAAATTTCCCCTTTCTTATGAGTTTTTATGTATTTCCACATGTATCTTACTAAAGTGAAACTTTAAAAAATAGGTATCTATGCAGATCTACAGGATGTGCTTATGATCACACAGTATTTATACACCATTCCTAAAATGTCTCTACATTTTATTATAGCTTTCCTATGGCTCTGTTCTCTCAGGAGGGAATGATAAACCGTTCTCTTCATGGTACAAGATGGTTCCCAATGACAACCATCAATACAAAGGGATTGTCCAGTTGCTTGTGCGTTTTAAATGGATATGGGTTGGACTCTTTGTTGTTGATGATGACAATGGGGAAATGTTTTTGCAGTCTTTGATTCCTTTGTTTTCCCAGAATGGCATTTGTTTCGCTTTCATAAATAGAATCCAAAAAACGAATTACATTGATGGAATGATAGCAATATTTTTAAGTAAGTGGGATGCATTTCAATCTTTGATGGAAAGCAAAGTCAATGTGCTTGTTGTCAATGGAGCACCTCCATCAATGGAAGAGTTAAGCTGGCATCTTCATTTTGTAGACCTAAATGCACCCATAGGGAAGGTGTGGATAGTAACTGCACATTGGGATTTTGAATCAAAAAACTATCAAAGAGAATGGGATATACAGCATTTCCATGGTGCTATATCCCTTACGATTCATTCAAATCAGCCAAAAGGATTCAGGACATTTCTTCAAAGAGTTAATCCTTTCTGGACAAAAACTGATAGCTTCATCACGGAATTCTGGGAACAGGCATTTGACTGTTTATTGAAAGAATCCAATGGAAGGAAGAGTGATGAGCCCAAGCCAACCTGCACAGCAGAGGAAAAGTTGGAAAACCTTCCAGGGCCACTCTTTGAAATGAGCATGACTGGCCACAGTTATAATATCTACAATGCTGTCTATGCGATATCACATGCTTTACACGCTATATTAGAATCCAGTTCAAAACTCAGGCTGGAGCCTTGGAATTTAAAAGCATGGCAGGTAATTTTACCCCAATTCTGTTTTCTTGTTTCAGACAGCATACCAGTGCCATTCAAATCTTCATAAAGTTTTACAGATGTCCTCTTTCCAGAAGGATGGTTTCAAATGTCTCTGTCCTGCTGTTTCAGTCTGAAAATTCTCATTTCAGTTTTTCCTGTTCTTTCTACAGATCAAACAACAGACTACTTATTTTTGAGCATTTGTTTCCACACATCAGGTTTTCCCCATAAAACATATGATTCTTTCGACATGATTAATCTTGTAAAAAATCAGTCTATTATGTGTATGGCACACCAGAGGTTTTGGATCCAGGGGGGTCCCATGTTTATCTACTGGGACCTCAGGTAGCAACAGTGGGGAAGATGCTTCTCTATGCAACATCTCAGGGATCCGCTGCCAGTGAATGTAAATAACTCTGAGCAAAACTGTACATTGAGAATAGAATCCATGCAACTTCAGTATAAATTGAGAAGAGAAACCAGACAACATCGGTGACACCAAAAGGCAGAAAATCATAACTGAGAAAAATAAGGAAATGTAAAATGTGGCAATTATTTTCCACAAGGTCTCACTGTCCTTGGTTGAAGTATATGTAGCCATTACTATTAATCTATAGTTCAATTTATGCAACATGATTGATTAACAATCAGTTTGATTCACTGAGATTTTCACTAAATATCACCCAGTTCCCTTCTTTGGAGGAGCTAAGGAAATCGTTTTATCCCCATCATAACCTGTCTGTCAGTCAAAAGGTACCCTACTTCTCTTTTTCACCAGTGGAGAAGCTGGTTGGATCCAACCCCATGCTTTCGTCACTGGTTCAACTTCACTTTCTTCTCTCATGCATCAAGCCCAGTTTGCAATCAATTTGACTGAAGGACCAATTTAACAAGAAAATAGGGACTGGATTATATATTTATTTTATTTTTAAAAATTATACCCCACCTTTCCGCCTTTATGAGAACAATCAAGACAGCCAGAACATCAAGAACATACATCATAAAATCTCATTTAAAAAACTGTTAAAACTAACAAAACACACATCAATAAAACAATTAAAAACAAAGGTAAGATGCACATGGCATGAACATAAACAAAAACATTATAGCAAATGACAGGAAGGAGAGATCAGTGAGAGAATGCCAAATGAACCAAAAAGGCCTCCACTCACTGGCGGAAGATGGTAACAGAAGGGCACAGAAAAATCCCCCCTGTGAGAGTTATAGAGTTTTTGTTCCACCACCAAGAAGACCCTCTCCAGAGCTGCAACCTGCCTACTCTCAAAAGGCGGGGTCAATGAAAGCAGGGCCTTGGAAGATGACAGCAGTGACTTGTTAGGTTCATAAGGGATTAGGTGGGGCTTCAGCTTTTGCCCACAATGGGTAGCCGTCAAAACATTTTCCTAATCCCTCTTTTATCTATGGGCTGGCAACATTCCAGTGGAATGGAACAAACTGCATCTGTCAAGGAAGGTTTTTGACTCAGACACCTCTTCTCAGTTGTGGCACCAAAACTCTTGGAATTCCCTCCCCTGGTGAGATTTACCTGTCTCTCTCTACCTTTGTCATTCACAAGTGGGTGAAGACTTTATATATGTTGTTTTAATATTCTGATTGTTTGCCACTGAGGGCCCTAAGTGGAGTGGAAAAGTGGCCAAAATGTTTTGAATGAATGAACAAACGAATGAATGGTCATTGGTCTTAAGAAAGAACATGTCTGTGGCTGGATCTGAACAGATATAGAAGGAATGGAAACAGATCTACAAGAATTATTTAGCAACACATTCACAAGGATTCCAACTGTTTGTTCTCACTGTTTCGTTTGAACCTAGCTGAACCATTTTCTACGAACAATCTCATTCAACAACAGTGTAGGAGATGCTGTGTGCTTTGATGAAAATGGAGAATTGATTGTAGGATTGGATGTTACAAACTGGGTCACTTTCCCAAATAACTCTTTTGTTCGAGTGAAAGTTGGAAGTCTGGATCCTCATGCTCCCCCAGGCAAAGAGCTGAAAATTCAGGATGAGAACCTAGTGTGGCACAAATGGTTTGCCCAGGTAAGAGACCACTTCACATCTTTTGGCCCAGAAGGCGTGACCTTTAAAAAAAATCTTTAGCACTTATTTTTTTAACAGGAATCTAGTTACAGTGACAATTAAAATAGGACATTAAGAGACCACTTCACATCTTTTGGCACAGAAGGCTAGTGACAATTTAAAAAAATCTTTTGGACTTTATTTTTTTTTAACAGGAATCTAATTAAAGTGACAATTAAGATAGGATATTAAAGTACCAAAAATTCCTATTTTGGCCACAGTTCACAACATGTGGCTTTTGCACTTTTTTGGTATTGCAATTTTACCTTCCTCTTTCTGCTTTTCTAGCTTTTTGTGAAGTCAGCTGCTGAGTAATTCCATAATTAAATGATTGGGGGAAATACATGTGTTTGGACTGATCCAGTCTTTGGAGGGAATTATGTTATCGGTCTTTATTTATTTATTTATTTATTCATTTATTTGAATTTTTATCCCTCCCTCCCCTGCACAGCAGGTCTCAGGGAGGGTTATAATAATAATTATACAACAATTTAAAAAATTTAGAACATAGCTACAGAACATAATTATACAGCAAATGTAACAATTAAAACATATATTAGCCTATACTAGACCAGAGTGCTCAGAATAAACCCAGCTCCTGGGCAAGTGGACAAGAGTTGCAGACAGTGGAACAGATTGAATGGTGCCAGATGGAGTAGGGGAGGCTGATGGGGTGCCAGAGGAGAATGTATTAGAGTGGAATGGTGTTAATTAATGCTGAAATGTCACTTCTTGCTTCACAACAGGATGTGACATCAGGACTTTAAACCACATCGGGAATTTAAACCACAGAGATTTGAAAATTCCTAGAATGTCATAATACCATTTTCTGTTTTGAAACAGGAAGTGATATCATGGCACTCCCTTCCTTCCTCCCACTGTGGTTCTCCCAGGGAGGGAAAGCAAACCTAGTTTTAAACCTCACCCCTGAGCAATAGGCATCAAGATTCACTGGATCGTTGACTGTTCAATGAATTATAAAAGGATAAGGAAGAATAAATTTCCCTTATCAAAGGCATCCAAGAAATTGGTGAAAGGATTATAACAGGAGTTCTAGATCATTTGTATAAAGGCCAGTGTACTTAATGTTTCTGTAAATGGTCTAGTGGAAATGCAAGGTGGAAAAGTTTGCAGGTAACAACCATTTGCAAATGTTTGCTGCTAATATAAATTCTGATAACACTTTAAGGAAAAGAAGAGGAGGAGGAGGAGATTGGATTTATACCCTGCCTTTTACTCATTTTACAAACTCCTTTCCCTTCCCCTCCCCACAACAGACACCCTGTGAGGTAGATGGGACTGAGAGAGCTCTTGACAGAACTCTGCTTGAGAGAACAGCTCTGACAGAACTATGGTTTGCCCAAAGTCATCCAGCAGCTGCAAGTGGAGGAGTGGGGAATCAAACCTGGTTCTCCCAGATCAGAATCCACACACTTGACCACTAAATTAAACTGATTATCTTTGGCACCAAAACAAACCTGTTCAATTTTTTTTCAGGAAGGGGTTTGCCCCCCTATTTGGAATGTAGAGACAGACACAAAGGGTTGGATGAACTAAAGGGCCACTTTATTTAACATATTAACTTGAACTCAACGGCAAGGGCCAATGACTTGCAGAAATGCCAGGCAAGTGGTCATCCGCGACCATTCCATACTCATATAACAGGAAGCCACCATGCCTTGGATTGAACCAACCCATTAAGATCATCTCTGTCTGGCTCACAAATGGGCAATGCCATGGATATTCCCCCACCAAACCATACAATTTAGGTAGAAGCTCAATCGCTGCAGCCCCAAGCAGTCTGCCTCCTGAACCCCGGGTCACGTAACCCAAAGACTAGTCTGGCCAAATGCCTAGCCCCCAACTGGGACTGTTAAATTGGTGCTCACCACCCCCCAACCCACAAACTAAATCGACCACCCTACAACAAAGGCAGCAACCCCAGTCAATTCGACAACCCCCTGACAGACTGTACACATAGGCGAAAAACATCTCCAACCACCACCAATCAGTCAGAGATGAAAAAAATCCTACCCAGCCCCCTGCAAACGGGCGACCAGCAAAGCCTGAACAGCAATCAGGGTGGGAGGGTGGGCCAAGAGAAAGGCAGCAACTGAAAAGGGAGAGGGAGTGGAGCCAGCCATTAAACGTGCCAGCCCCCCCCAAAAGGCCCAGAAGCCATGAGTCAGCATCCCGCCAGTTCCCTATCCTTTAAAGGGGCTAAAGGCGGCCCCCAGCGGTACGGCTGTTGACCTGCCAGGTGGGGCCAGATTAGCATTGCTAAAGCCCCAGCAGTCTGACAACCAGTCAGGTGAACATCAATATGTCATGAAAAATAACTGCATTGTTCAGAGCTTCATGGGAACAACCACATATATTTTATATGCCAGTCTTGCATCACATTGGCAGCAAGTGTGAAACTCGAAGAACTACTAACGTATCTTTTCCTAAAGAAGCTTCCAAGTCAGTAATGCCATTATATCATCTCAATATCCACATTGCCCATTTTGCTCAGCAGCCAAACGTTCTCAAATTTCCAAACGTTTTTCTGAGTGACAGTTCCTATATTCATCATCAGGTTCCGCCTGTTTCTGTTTGCAATGACAACTGCCATCCAGGTTACAGGAAGAAAAAGAAGGAAGGAGAGCCATTTTGCTGCTATGATTGTGTTCCATGTTCACATGGGAAGATTTCTGATAAGAAAGGTAGGAAAATACAGACATATAGAGTGATAATAAATGTACCAAATAGTAAGTTATAGCCAGACAATCTCAGGAGATAGAGGGCTACATTTTTCTGATATGGACATGCTCAGTAGATGGTCTCAAGACAGCACTAATCATCTTCCAACAAAGCATGTCCTAGAAATCTCAAATAAGATGCTGCTAGGCATCCAGTCTATGGCAACACTCTAGCGGACACATCTCCCGGACCTCCCGGGGATGTGATCTGCGAACCAGTGGATAAGAGAGGGGGTGACTGCTTGCCACCCTCCGGGAGCCTTGGCAAAAGGCTCCTCATCATGGGGCTTTTGAAGGGTAGCCTCTTCACCAGCATGTTGCTGGGGAATTGAGGCACTCTTCCGCCCCAACGGTCCTGTCGCTGAGTTGTCTGTATGGAACTAGAGCCGCTGACTGGGACAAGCGTCAGAGATCGGGCATTGGAAATGTATTCTGAGCGAGGTCGTAAGACCAACAATGAACTGTGAGTTGAGTTAAAGCGAATGATGGGATTAGAAAAAGAAAGCACCCCCTGGGAACAGCGAGAAAAGCAAGCGGGGGAGGGGCCCCTCCCATACGCACAAACAAAAAAGTGATTTACCAAGGGGTGGAGTGAAGGTGAAAGCATTGAAATCTGTTTTGAGAGACTTACCAGAGCATGGATAAGTGGAAGGGTGAACTTCAGAGACTTTAGCAACTTTTTCTAAAAGTAAACAATCCATAAGGATGGCGGGGAAGAAGTCGAAGAGAGACAGAGTAGGAAAAACGAAACTAGTGGTAAGCATGAGCCCCTGACCAGAAGAGGTCATTGAGTTCTCTAAATTGTTGGCAGATTCCTTGCGCCCTCTACTGGAACAGATAACTAATGTCAATCAACAGCTTACAACTCTAAATCAGAATTTTGCAACTCAGCAGCTCCAGTTGACTGAAACTGCAAAAAAGATGGAGCAAACAGCTAAGCCAAGGAAATGGATGCAAACAACAAAAAAGTTAAGAAAAAAGTGAAAATGCTGGAAAAAAGGCAAGCTTCGGACGAATTTCAACTTCTACAATTACAAATGGAGAAAGCAAATCTGATCCTCAGGTTTCAAAGGGTCTCAGAGGCAAAAGGTGAGAATCTAAAGCAACTGCTGAGCGAAGCATTAGCCCCAGTTACAGATTTGAAAGCAGACTACCTTACAAGCGAAATGGATGTGGTCTATAGGGCCTATTCCATTTACATTAAGAAAAATAATCTGCCTGGGGAGATAGTTGTCAGATTCTCGAAGAAACACATGAAGGACTTAATCCTAAAAGCAACTATGGGAACACCCTTGAAAATCGGAGATAACACCATCAGGATCCTTAAAGACATTCCATTTGAAATAAGGCAATAGAGGAAGAAGTATAAAGACTTGGTGCTTTTTCTACGAACAAATAGCATTGCCTACAGATGGTTGATTCCAAAATGCGTCACTTTCAAATTACACAATAAAAAAGAAAAGATTGACTCCGTTTTCAAAGCACATGAATTCCGGAGATTGCAACTGGGAGAGACAGCTGAGGATGCTAAGGGAGAAGATGACAGCAAATCTAGTGGCGAATTGGACTCAGAGTCTTCCGATGAGGATTCTGCTTCTGATAAAGGGGTGGCTGCCCCTAAACAAGCATATCATCTGAGGATTAGAAAAGATAAAACAAAGTGAAGGCTGAAGGACTCTGAATTGTGCCTTAAACTTTTTATTTTATTATAGAAGATGCTCTTGAAGTTTTCGTTAAATAGTTAAATCAATAGATAATACGATAAATAATTTAGCATAATAGACTACGTTCAATGTAATTTTAGCAATGTTAGATTAGTACTTATACAAGCTGTTGTTATGATCTCCTATTCTTGGGGTTTTAGTTATTAGTGGTTAACTTTTCTTTCTCCTTAGATGTAGTTCCCTTCCTCTTTTTTTCATTGTAGTTTATAGTATATTAAAAATGCAATAAAAATCTCCTTTGGGGGACTTAAAAAAATAATAACCTGCTGCTAGAAGTTCCGTGATAAGGGTGTCTGTGTTGGTACATTAAACCCCTGAGAACCTACTGCATTTATCATTCAGATTTGAGGTTAAACCCTGCCCTATCCCATCCTTATATCACAGTTTTGTCCCAGACTATCCTGTCTCGAATGGCTGCTTCAAAAGAAAGGCTTTAAAGTTCTGATCTCTGAGTTGCCCAGCTTCCTTCCCGATGGAACTATCAAATTCCTTAAAATATTTATACCAGGCCTCTCAATCAAAGGTTTTTGAAATTACAGCCACATAAAATCAATTGCAACAAACTTCCAGTAAATAATCAGCAATAAAAACAGCAGTAGAAGCTCAGGGAGGTGACAGCTGCGGTGCAAGTGCAACCATAAAGATGGCCACTCTCTAGTAGTCCCCCCACCTTATCTTTGAAGTTTTTCCCCATAGATCACTTGCATTAATTTCCCCTTAAAACAGTCTGGATTTGAATCTCCTCATATCCCCAAGGAGTGATTTCTACTCTATATTTTAATTATATCTCTGAGATTTTCTTGTGGTTTTTTTCAGACATGGATGGCTGTATCAAATGCCCAGACACCAATATCCAAATAAGGCCCAAAATGAATGTACGCCCAGGGGTCATTTCGGGGGGGGGATCGCAGTTCCCCCAGGTGAGGTGTGGGGGGCGGGGCACACGTCGAAGCCCCCCCCTGCTTCCGGTCAGGGTAAAATGGCGATTTGACGCACCCTGTAAGTGCTCAGGGTGGACGAGTGTTCCTTACAGCAGTTTGGACTGTATTTTGGTCCAACGCAGCTTCCCCCAGGCAGGGGGAATGACTGGCAGGCATCAAGACCCAAGAGAGAGTTGAGATTGGTGTGATCAAGTCTTGGAGGAGGCTTGTATTACACTTTGATCTCCTCTCCCGAAGCGGGCGAGCACATTCAGGGGGTGTGGCCTTATGACACACTTCCGGTGATATCAGGGGGTGTGGCATATGCGAATGAGTTATGCTAATGAGCTTCCCTAGCTCTTTTTCTATGAAACGACCCCTGTGTACGCCCAAGAATATTAGTTTCCTGACTTATGAACAACCTTTGGGGATCATTGTGGTGTCATTTATTCTTTCTTTTTCTATGACTTTGCTGTACAAATATGTACTTTAGGACTTTGTTATTTTATTATAACTTTATTTTCATTAACAACTCTAGTTTCTGTGCTTTATTTACCCAACTAAAAACAACCTCTCACTAGTAATCTCCCCACCGTACCTTTGAGGTTGTTCCCCACAGATCACTTGCATTAATTTCCTGATTTGATACTGAGATTTGCTTGTTGTTGTTTTTCCCCCCAGACATGGATGACTGTATCAAATGCCCTGAAGACCAATATCCAAATAAGGCCCAGAATGAATGCTCCTCCAAGAGTCTTAGTTTCCTGACTTATGAAGAACCTTTGGGGATCATTGTAGTGTCATTTATTCTTTCTTTTTCTTTGACTACAGTGTTTGTATTGATCACTTTTATAAAAAATCATGATACTCCCATAGTCAAAGCCAACAACCGGAGCCTCACCTACATCCTCCTCATCTCCCTCCTACTTTGCTTCCTCTGCTCCTTCCTATTCATTGGGCACCCTGGGAGGGTGACTTGCCTGCTCCGGCAAACTTCTTTCAGCATGGTCTTCTCTGTGGCCCTTTCCAGTGTATTGGCCAAAACAATCACTGTAGTTCTGGCCTTCATGGCAACCAAACCAGGATCCAGAGTGAGAAGGTGGGTGGGGAAAAGAATGGCAAACTCTATTGTCCTTTCCTGCTCATTTCTTCAAGCAGCTCTTTGTACAGTTTGGCTAATTTCCTCTCCTCCATTCCCATACACAGACATGAAGTCACTCGATGATAAAATGATTCTAGAATGTAATGAGGGCTCATCTATGATGTTTTTCTGTGTTTTGGGATATATGGGCTTCCTGGCCATTGTCACCTTCACTGTGGCTTTCTTTGCCAGGAAGTTGCCAGATAGTTTCAATGAAGCCAAATTTATCACCTTCAGCATGCTGGTCTTTTGTAGTGTTTGGGTACCATTTATTCCCACCTACTATAGCATTAAAGGGAAGTCCATGGTAGCAGTGGAGATCTTCTCCATCTTGGCCTCCAGTGCTGGTTTACTGGGTTGCATATTTTCCCCTAAATGCTACATGATTGTGATGAGGCCTGAGCTGAACGACAGGCATCATTTAATACCAAGGAAGTACCAATGAATATGAATTGTCCTAACTATATCAATTTATTAACTTGTATATGTGGAATTAGGGTTGGATTGAATCTCTGTCCTCTGCTAAAAATTTACAAAACCTCTGGTACACCTATAACATCTATAGTTATTAGCCTATAAAGTTGAAACTTTATCAGCTATATAGTTGAAGCTTTAGGACTCTGCTGGGTGCTTTGCCCTTCACGGGACACAAATTTGACTCACGTGACTTTTGCTTACTGGGAATGTTTATATTGTACAGCAGTCAGAATTCACTATCAAATTTTACATCTGTAGGGTATCTGAAGCTAGCTTCCTGTGATTCTCTTAGTTAAACTTGATTATGTGAGTCACCCTAGCTTAACCCAGCTTCCCTTGACTTTCCGGACCCCAGAGATAGAAATAAAAGGGCTGATTTTGTTGTATATGTCAGATGTATGCCAAATACTCATCACAGACTTGACTGACAGTTACAGTAGCTTCAAGGGGGTAAAAAAGAGTACTTAATGTTTGATTTTAGTCTTGTTCCTGGTTGTTCTGATCAACCACACTCAGTTATGGGTCTTGGCGAAATAACCAAGGATATCCTTTACAGAATTACAGGTACACTATTTACGTATTGCAGTTGTGTTGAAATATCTAAAGTTGAATATTGAAATGCTACAAAATGTTTTCTGATGTAAGAATGCGTAATGGAATAAATTGAGTCTTGATTTAGAACATCTCTCTCTCTCTCTCTCTCTCTCTCTCTCTCTCTCTCTCTCTCTCTCTCTCTCTCTCTAATAGGGAAGCTAGCTCCCCTCCCGCCCAAAATTCAACACAATTGGAATGAGGGTGCATGCAAAGGGTCTTGCATCCCCCATTTCCCCAACAGTATGCTATATGAGCCTCATTCATGTTATGATTCCATTTTTTAAAATAGGATTTTAGTTTTGTATTCATGTAAGCATGCATTTATATCTTTACAAATCTGGGAATATAATGTAGTTAGTATTCATAAGATGCTTTTGTCCCAGTGCCAAAGCTTCAGCATGTTAGCCTTCTGCAGTGTTCAGAAGTTCCCTTTTCCTACCTACCTGACCACCAAAGGAAAACCCATGCCACAGGTGGAGATTTTCTCCATCGTTGCCACCAGTGTTGGGATGCATCCCTTTCTTTAAATTCTACATCATCATAAGGAGGCTTAAGCATAAGGAACAACATGATAAGGAGGAGAAAAGCCCAGAAGATGGTTCTTTACCTTTGACATAGCTTTTCTGGTCAGACTACTGCAATATACTCTGCCTAGGTATCCCTTGGAATTCAACTCAGTGACTCCAGCTGATGCAAAACACCTCAACTTGGTTATTAGTGGGAGCTAGATGGAACATGACACCAGTGTGAAACATCAGGGGGACATTCCAGGATTCTCAAAACCTCTACAGTTTTGGCAAAACTTAGGGCACCTTGTCAAGGAGTCCAAGCTCAACCCCATGGGTTCTCAGGGTTATTGTTCACAAGTAACCTAAGCTTTTCTTTTTTATGTACATAACATAAGAACAAAACAGAAGCCAATGTTGGATTAAGCCGATGGCCCCTCCAGTCCAATACTCTGTCACACAGTGGCCAAAAATACCAGGTGCCATCAGGAGGCCCAGCAGTGGGGCTAGGACACTAGAAACTCTCCCACAATTCCCCCTCAAACACCAAGAATACGTACATCACTTGACCCAGACCGAGAGTTCCTCTCTATACCTTGTGGCTAATAGCCACTGATGGACCTCAAAAAAATTGTATGGTTTCTTTTTAAAATTTCTGACAAAACAAAGATTTGTTCTATTGGCAACACAATTCTTTAAAACCATAAAGCAGAAAAAACCAAGAAAGTTAGCTTAACTAGCAAACACGTTTTCAAGACTTTTGTTAGATGGCACAAACCATAAGTTCAAGAGTCAAAGGCCACAGCATCATTTTTGTATGTATAACTGGCTATCGCAATATAAGCATATTGTAGTCTGGGCCTTCAGTCCATCAGAAACCAAGCTAGACTTCTTTTCCAGGTTCTTGGCTCAATCATAGTTTTTTTTAAAAAAAAATTGTTGACCACATCTCCACATAGTCTGTCTGGAACCCTCTAGAAAATTACCTCATCGGCTTCTAACATGTCACCCCTCAGTCTTCATTTCTTCAAGAGCCCTAACCTCTTTAACCTTTCTTCATAGGGAACGTGTTCCATCCCCTTAATCATTTTAGGTGCCCTTTTCTGCACCTTTATCAATGCTACAATACCTTTTTTTGAGGTGCAGTGACAAAAACGTACACAGTATTCCAAATGAGGCCACATCATCGATTTATACAGGGGCATTATGATACTGTCTGATTTTTTCCCCAGTCCCCTTCTTACTAATCCCCAGCATAACATTTGCCTTTTTTATTGCTGTCACACACTGAGTTGACATTGTCAGTGAGTTATCTACCAAGACTCCTAGATCTCCATTACCGCCAGTTCAGACCCCCATCAATGTATATTTATAGTTAGGATTTTTGGCTCCAACATGCCTTGCTTTGCCCAATTCTCTAAATCCTCCCAGGAGTGGCAGGTAGTGGACTGGCATTCCTTGCTTCAATCCTCACAAGTGACAAGGAATTAACCCTACATGCCTTTTCTGTTGATCACCACATGCTCTTGAGTCTCTCGCAATTTTGAAAAACAATATTTTGAGGGGGCTGTATATTGCTTCTGCACAGCCAGCAACATTTACCACTGCCTAGTAGAAAGATAGGCTGAGGAAAAATGGGAAGAGTGAATGACAAGAAGTTAGGCCCCGATTCATGATATTTTTTTTAATTGATTTCCTAGTTCGTATTGCTGGGAACAGTAGTTTTCATGGTTTTCATATTTTTGCATGACTATGAGGCACATGTAAGGTCTGGGTATTCTTCAGTCCCTTTGGGAAATCATGTTTGTGGTTTGATGAGGGAAGGATTAGCAGAGAGGCAGGATGGAACTGAGAGGCACAGGAGAGTGCATTTCTTTGGTACTGTTGAATGTGTATAGTGGCCCCTGTCACACGGGCAGGAAACTGCAGAGGAGAAGTGTGGCTGTTTGCCCCGGGGCAAACTAACATGCAGTAAAGCGATCAGACCTACTGTGGAGGTTCTGTGGAGGTACTGTGGAGGTTCCATGGCAAGGGAGAGGTGCCGATCACAACACACGCCTGCGCGCAATGAAGAAGCGCGCGGCACGGCGAACTGGTTTTCTTTTTTTGTGTACACTACGAATGCGCATGCTCCGTTGGGTGCGTGTGCGCATCCACGGAGACGTGGGGGGAAAAAAACCCTTTTCCGCAAGGGGACATGGGCGGGCGCCGGATACCACCGGAAACGCGATCAGACGCCCGCCCTTGCCCCGCAGTTTCTGGAAACTAGTACCTCCAAGGTACTAGTTTTTTGCTGCGCTTTTTCGGCAGGAAGCCTCAGTTGTGCCACGGAAGCGCTACGCTTCCCAGATGTGCTGGTGAGATCGCGACCGGAAACTCCGCTTGTCTTCCGTATCTCTTGCGTGGCTAATGTTGCGTGTGACCGCAGCCAGTGTGTACCAAGCAAAAGGTCCATCAAGCAAACACAAGTGGCTCCAGATGAAGCCCAAGACTGATCACTTATGACCACTCATGAGACCATCTATGAGAAATCTTCCCTGATAATTTTTTACAGTAATTATACTGTCAAAAGGCTGTGCTTACACTGGCTGTGGATGGGGACAATCCTGATGTAACTGTCCATTTGCCACCTGCTCTTTCACATTATGCAAAAGATTAGACTCTTAGTGAGTTCTCAGAACAATAGCGGGGGGGGGAATCCTTTTACAAGGTAATTTCTGCCTATGGTACCACAGCAGATTCTGTACTTGGAGGAGGTACTTTCCTCTCCCATAATGACTAATGCTTTTCTGAACTTCTTACCAAGAACCATCAGATGTCCAGAGACCACAGGAAAATAACACATGAAGCCCTGAATAATAGTTTAATAATAACAGATTCGCTTGAGCAGACAGAAAAGATAGGCTTTGCCACTTGAAGCTCTTTGATGTTTACACTTGGGATAGTGCAAAGTAACTCTGCATAGAATTGCCCTGTGGGTGTACCTTCCCTAATTGGTGGTGCTGTGACTTGTATCCGATGGAACATACTATAAGTAACTTGGACAGACCTCACCTAGTGCTTATTTTTTCCTTCAGAGTGACCTCCTTCTAGATTTTTATTTAAAAGTTACAATCAGACCTCAGTGCCCAGGCATTGGACAACTGTGGTGCAAGAACCTAGAACACAGATGGAGAAAGTGATACCACTGGTGCAGGGATAGGTTTCAAAGCAGGAAATCAACAGTCACTCCAAAGTGGGTATACCAGGATGATGACAACAGGAGAATATTCTGCCTTCCAAGTTTGGCTCCTATTTTTTAATTTATTTACTTACTTCATTTATCATCCAACTTTCTTGCTGAGACTCAAGACATTAGTGCCATTGCTCATGCTGATGCTCGTCATGTGGAGGGCATGTTCCATTCATCCCAACCTGAAGACTCATTCAATTCAGTGCAACAGGAATGGTTTCATCCCTATTCCACATGAATGTTATGAGCCAGGAGTTCTTGTCATTGGAGGGATTGCGTCTCAGATTTTCTTCCATCACAACCCTGTGCACTTTGGTGAGCAGCCCTCTCAGATGTTGATCGAGGAGGCAGTGTAAGGATCCATTTCTTCTTTTTCATTAGTTTTCAGCTTTTCTGTTAGACCATAATACTTGAATGGATCAATACAGCAAAAGAAAGAAAACATAAAGAACAGATCGACTTCATTTTGATGGGTTGTCTCTTATGGAAGACCCTCTTGTAAGTGGATGGTTCTGAGTTGTAGAGGGGGGAGAACCAAAATCCCACCCAATATGGAAACCATATTCCAGTGGATAGTTAGATGATTAAGTCATATTCTTAGTTTTACCTTCAGAACACCTTGTTAAATTAACCAAA